TGTGAAAGACTTTGTTCTCTGAAAGACTGCTAAATTTCGTGAAGATATACATGCTATATTAAAAGTCAGTAGTATCAAATCTATAAAGACTTTAAATGAGCACAAATAGGTCACGTGATTGGTCAAATCAACGAGCCCGTATTGAGAGAGTTAATAATGTCACAACCATCCTACTTCTCACCATAGTGGTACTCCTTGTTGTAGCTCCAGCAGTTAATTTACAATTGGTGAGGGTTCCCCATGGAACGAGCCCGTATTGAGAGAGTTAATAATGTCACAACCATCCTACTTCTCACCATAGTGGTACTCCTTGTTGTAGCTCCAGCAGTTAATTTACAATTGGTGAGGGTTCCCCATGGACCACCATTCCAGCAACCAGAAACTGGTAAGTAGCAAAGGTCACCAATGCTCCATTCCATGAAGGGGGGGGGGGAGAGAACTCACAAAGGGGAGATTTAGAGAAAGTGCCCAGATCCCCATCAGTCCAGAATAGTCTAATATTGGAGACAGTGGAATGGGTGACCACAAAGCCCTATTTTTAAAAGCCATCAAGCACAAGCATGAGCTAGAGAAGTGAGCAGAACACCTTCCTGGTGCTGGCTCTTTCTATAATAGTCCATGGAATAGGTACAGTCTGGATTAGACAATAGACAACTCCTTGATGAGACCCCAAGAAAGAAAACCTTGAGTCTACAAGGTCCACTGTATGAGTTACATTAGGGAATGCCTCAAAGGAAAGAGAAGGGATTCAAGGAAAGCCAGAGCCCCCAAAAGCAAAAGAATCTCTCGAGTATGGAGAGAACAAGAAGTGTAAAACCTGGTGACCAGTCTACCAGAGATTACAGGCAAAGAAATTAAACTAAAGCCAGTTGAAACAACAGAAATAGAAAATGTCCAAAAGTACCCGAAGTTAAATGGGTGATAGAAAGATCCCAAGATTGTATCCCCCCCCCCCCAAGTTGGCTAGATAGATACCAATGACGGGGAAAAGGAAGTTTATAAATCAGGACAAAAGGCATCACAACTGTGAGGGGGACGAGGCATTTGGGCACGAGAAACAAGTGAAGGAAACAGCATAAAACCTGATAACAAGCAAGGAGAAAAGAGAAGATAAACCTAAGATTTGTGGGTTAGTAAACAATAAATAATAACAAACACAAGAAAGGAACAGCCCTGAGAAGGAAATCCAGAAAAAGATTGAAAAGTCAGGCGAAGGTCGTAGTATATTAGATCATTCACGACTGACAAGAAAGAAATTCGGCCCACGAGATGGAAGTAAGAGGCAAATTAAGCATGTGATAATCCACAACATGTGGAATAATGGCTGCAATGACCCTAAAAGTTAACAAGCCTTCAAAAGCCACAGAAAAGGCCTAACTATGAACAATGTCTCACATTCAGGACTAAGTAGAAATAACCATCATTTGAGAATTCCTGATAAAATGTTAAAACTTTTGAAAAAAAACAACGAAAATCAAAGTTTCATCGACTTGAACTCAGACAATAAATTTAAACATGTCCTTACAATACAATACTGAGGAAAAGAATGAAGATTCAAGAGTGCAAATGCAAGGGGGGGGGGGGGTTAGTATGCACGGAAGTGTGTTACCTTCCTATTTGTGGAGGGTTCGTGTTGCATGATGATATCGTCACGCAGTAAAGAAGTTCACATGCAATTAAGTAAGAATTACCTTAGAGCTATGTTTGTTGATTTATCATTCAATTCTAGTGCTTGATTACTAAAAAATAATACACAGAAAGAGAGTGGTGTACTTGCAAACAGGAAGAATTGAATAATGAAAATATAGTTCAGTTTTTGTAATAAGGGTTTAATTACTAAACTTACCAGCACTTGTCACAGCAAATCATGTATTCATCATCATGATTAAACCCACTATAACAGAAAAAAAGAATATTTTAGTTATTATTACAAAAACAACTTCAATCTTTAAGTAAAAATACAAACTTTTTTAACCCCATCGCCCCAGGTACCCTTTACTGCGCATGACACAAGGTTTTAGTGTCTTACATTCAAAATTTTTTAAACTACATTTTGTTTATGTTATA